GCCCTGCCTGGCTGCGCCAGCTCGGTGGGTCATGGGAACCCGGTGCGGTGGGGGCGGGATGGCCCCACTCAGGCCCTGGCCCTGGGCTGGAGATCAAACAGCCCGGCGGTGAGAGCCGAGCGTCCGTAAATCACCCCTCAAAGAGCACCAGTTCCAAATGACCGGTGAGCTCAGAGATTCCCAGACACCCAACACCCTGTGCTGTCCTCCCTGCCGGCCCGTGGGTGCGCCTGCTCGCCCTGGGAACCCAGACACCGTCCCCACAGCCTCAGCCCCCGGCTAGGCTTCTTCTGCATGAGCCTTGGGCTGGGGTCCCTACGGTCATTAGCACACGCCCGCTGTGAACGGGTGGAAAGTGATGAGTCCAGGTCCAAACCTGGGGCCACTTCCCCGCTGTGCCACGTGAGACAGGCTCCATAGCCACCTGGAGCAGCTTTTCCACGTGCGAGAAGGCATGCGAGGTGAAGCTGGGGCCGTGCGCCCCAAACCCTGATGGGTGTGGACGCGTAGAAGATGCTAGTGCCCTTCCCCACACCAGCCCTGCACGGGGCTCACACCCATCATCTCATTTAAACCTCACACCCCTCGGCATGATGGGCTTCACGGTCTCTGCCCGTGAGGAGCTGCAGAGGCTCCAGGACTCAGCTGGGATCACGTGGCCGGAAGCGTCAGCCCCTGGACTTGAGCCTGCTCCACCTGACGCCCGACGCCCTCTGCTCTCCCTGCTTCACCGTTACCTGGGCCCTAAGAGACGGATGCCCAAAGCTGTTACACTCCTGTGCAGTTTGCCCCCTAAAGGAACAGCGTGGGTAGCGATGCAAATGCGAGCTGCAGACGTGACGCTGGCCCTCGAAAGGGACAAGCATCAGCGCCTGTCCTGGTCCCTCGGAAAAGCATGGGTGCCATCCGAGGACCTCCTGGCCTTTCGGTGACACGCTGTGCCTGGAGATCTGGCAGTCGGGGGTCACAGCCTCCTCCCAGCTCCCGCCTCGTGGTGACAGCGCAAATAAACCCCCGCACGGCCTTCACACCTCCCATCCCCACTCCAGCAGCTCTGAGTTCTGCGGGGGCCAGAGCGGGGGCCCCTGCCCCAGGGAGGCCAGGGTCCCCAGGAGACCCCTTCTCACCCCCGGGGGCCTGCTTCTCATCTCCCAGCGCCATAGGCAGTAACCCCTGGTCCCGTGAAAGCCGAGGAGGGAGGAATGTCACATGAAAGGTGCCTGCGGAGGCCTGGCCAGTGTCAGGCCACCAAATGGCAGGTGCCAGGTGGTTAGCATTAATGGAGCGCGGAGGGCGGGGGCCCGGCTCCGGAGGTGTTCTGGGCAGGGGGCCGTGCTGACTCCGGCTGCCCCGTTGGTCACCAAGGAAGGCCCATGGAGCTCCTCTCCTTACCTCTCCTCTGCGCATGCCCTCCCCACCTGCCCCCGGCCACTGTGCTGGCTTCAGTGACATCCCCTCTCATGTACACTGTCCTAAAATCTCCCTCGCTGGGCTGCTGGCTCCAGGACTGTGGCCTCCACTCCGCCACAGTGCTCTTCCCAAGGCTCAGCCTGAGCTTGTCACTGTCCCTCCTGGGAGCCCTGTGTGGCTGCCCGTGGCCTCCAGTTGCCTTGGTTGGTCACCCAAGGGCCTGACTGGTAAGCCTGACCCCTCCCCTGTCTCCAGCCCACCCCACTGCCATGCCCACTATCTGGGGGCTTCCAGCACCTGTCTCTTCTAGCACTTACTTTACATGATCGGGTGGAAGGAAAGTGTGCCCACTCGGTCTTGCCGTCTTGGCTGGGAGCCTCCTGGGCAGACAGTGGTCCCCACACCAGCGTGAGGGGTATGGCTCCCCTCGTTCCTTGGGCAGCGATTTCCTGGGTCAGACAGCGGCCCTGGAGGAAGGCGGGAGTGAGGAGTGCTGGCCCCGGGAGGAAGGGCGCAGGTGTCCCCGTTGGAGTGACCAGGGGTCACGAGGAAGAACTGTGGGTGGACACGTGGTGTGCCCACTGTGCTCAAGTCCCCCAAACTGTGTGAAGATACGTATTCCAAGGCCCTCCACGGGCCTAGGGAATGAGGATATTTGGGGAGAGGGGCTGGAAGCCTGCATCTCAGAACGTACCTCGGGGGATTCTTAGGGTCAGAGCGTTCGGGAGCAGAGCTCCTGGGCTGTGAGCCCCCAGGGGCCAGAGCTGCCCCTGCTTTGCCTGTCCTGTGTTGCCCCAGAACCGTGCTCACACCTGCGCGAGGCCCACGGGCAGTGTTGGTGGAATGAATGAGCTGATCTCCAAACCAAGACAGCTTCTTTCTCCTGCTGACCTGAAGTGAATGCCAGCCATGTCCCTGCCTGCTGGGGTTGGCGGGCCAGTCTTCTTGCTCAATCAGACCAACTTTCCATCAGACCACCTCCCCGCATCCCAACCTCTGTCACTAGCTTGGAGGTTTCATTCCACTATGGCTGTCCCACAAGCTCCATGTTTTCCAGTGGGAACCACTAGGGGCCCCTACCTTGGGGTTAAGTTTTACAACAGTGAAAAATAATTGCACTTTCTTTCTTTTTTTTTTTAATAAGAGAGGAAATGTCACCAATGGTAAGGTCTTCAAAAGGCCACTTCGCAAACTCAAAATCTACTTGAAAGCACACCGTCTTTTGCTGGAGGCCAGGCTCGGTATGGTTCTGATTACCCCGGTGACCTTCACCCTGAGAACCCTTTGTAGATGGGCCTTTTTTCTAGACAACCTACTGATGAGCAAATGATCTAACAGATTTCACACCACATAAATTTAAGCCTAATAAATGGCTTCAAATTCAGAGCTCCTAATTCTGGGTTCAGCGAGGTAGTCCCTTTACAAAAGCAATCATGTAGACAATTAATAAACCCACACACAGCCCTGGGAAAGAGTGAATTCTGCCCCTGTCCCCCAGTCCCGAAGCAAGCTCCAAATGGTTACTTAGCCTCGGGGAACATGGATTTACCTTTAGCTTCTAGTTTGGGCAGAAGGCAAGGGTTACGTGGCTGCAAATGTCTTCTGCTCTGTCCACTACAGTAGCCACTAGCCACTTGTGGCTACTGAAATTTATATTTATATTAATGAAAAATTTTAAACTCTGTCCTTGGTTGTATTGCCCACATTTCAAGTGCTCAGTAGCCTCATGTGGCTAGTAGATAGTAAATTACAGCACAGGACAGAATATTTCCATCATTGCAGAACTTTCCATCGGACAGGGCTGACCTATTAAGCAGGCAAAACCTCTCGGGGCCCAGATTGCTTCTGTTTTGTCTCAATTATCAGTAACTATACCTCCCCTGGGACTGTTTTATTACATTCGTCTAGGTAAGCAAAACGAAGTGAAGTTCATACGGAGGAAAAATATAGATTTAAGAAAATCCTATTGTTAATGAGAAAAAAAGGGAACTTTGTTTTAAATCTGCTGATGAGCTCGCTCTTTTTTTTCCAACTCTTTGCTATTTTGGGTGGCATATTTACAGCTTTGGGGATGAACAATCTCGATTATTCAGAGCCAGAAAATAAAATCTGCTTTCTCATCCCAATAAGATAACTCCTCTGTCTGAATGAACCAGAGAATTGCTCTGGCTGGTTGTCCTTAAGCTGCTAAAGGCAAGGACACATCAGGGACTATTAGGGGCAGTAAAGGCCTTCGACATCCCTGAGGTCCACGACCTCATGTAGAGGTGCAAACACGGTTGTGGGAGGGCTAATCCAAGGCCACATGGCCAGCTCGTGGCAGAGCCAATTCCGGACTTGTCCCCTGAGCTCATTCTCGTCAGCAAACAACATACAACTTACAACTTCTCTCTTTGACCCAGTACCTTGGTTTAATTGGCTATAAAATGGGGAAAGTCTTGCCCTTGTGTGGCAGAGGTGCTAATTCAACGTCAAGCCCAAGGAGACATCCTGGGAGATAGGGCCCTAGCTCTAAACCGTTATAGGTCATCCCCAAAGCTGGTCTTTTCAGCTTCTTTACTAGGAGGTAGGCAACTCTTGTAAACTCCAGACCGCCCTACATCTTACTTTCTGTTTAACATCTTTTGGGGTGGGGTGTATTTTAAAGGCACCTCAAACTTAACATGTTCAAAAACTAAGCTGAAGGCCACCTTTCTCAATTCTGATCCTCCCCGGCGATCCCCAGGTCCATGGGTAGCACCATCGCTGTCTGGGTTTAACAAGCCAGAAGTCCTGGCATCACCCCCCACGCGTCTTCCCATAGCCAAGCCGTCACCAAGCTCCGTGCTTTCTACTCCTAAGGCTCTCTGCAGTCTGTTCACTTCTCTCCATGTCTGGGACCATGTCCTTGGTCCCAGCTACTGCCACCGCCCACACGGGCAATTGCTATAGGCCCCAGCTGGTGAACCAGACCTACCTTTGCTCCCGCCCCACCTCAGTGTACTCTCCCCTTTGAAACCAGAGTGATTTCTTCAAAATGAAATTTTACCATGTCCTCTCCCTGTTTGCAATTCTTTAATGACTTCCATTGACCTTAGGAGAAAGTCAAAGCTCCTAAATTGACTTGAAACTGTTTCATTACTTGAAACTGGCCTTCCCCTTCCTTTCTCTAGTCGCCCCTCTCACCCCTTCCCCCTCCTTTCCCTATTTCAGATGCACCCTCTGGCATCTATCAGTCTCTCTCACCCCATGCTTCTTCTAGCCGTAGAGACTTGGAAGTTTTCTTTTTGAGACTCACTCCTCTCCAGCCCCAGGCATTGGCTATTAACTCCACTCACATTTCCCATCTCAGCTCAAGCATTACTTTGTCAAGGGCATCTTCCATGACCTCCCTGTCAAGGTCAAATTTCTAGTATAGGTTCTCAGAGCACCATGGACCTCTTCTTCAGTGTCCGTGTCACAGCTGCAATGTCACATTTGTTTGTGTGATAACTGAACAAACATCTTTCTCCCCCACTAGACTGTAAGCTCCATGCTGACAGGAATCGTGCCTGTGTGATCACCAAAGAACCCTGGTCTGGCACAGAGTGAGTACTCTGTAATATTAAATGAATGAGTGAATGAATGAGCTACATTGTTGAATAGGTCACACCTGGGCTTGAATCTTGGTTTCACTATTCCTTTAGTTGTGTGAACTTGGGCAAGTCATTTAATCCCTCTAAGACTCAATTTCCTAATATGTAGAAGAGGAAGACTTTCATATTAACTTCATAGGAACCTGGAGGACAAATGAAATAACTGTGGTACAGTGCCTAATGTGGCCACTGTGTCCAGCACACAGTAGGTACTCAGGAAATGGTTGTGGTCATCATCTAAATGTCCCCCCCACTGGAAGACAAGGTAACCTACTCAATATCCTTTAACGTGACAATTTTTGCTTTAAATTGGCCTGTGTGTCTGTTGTTTGCAACCAAAATCTTACATGAAATGTAGCTCTAGTCCAGACTAACAGAATAAAAGCATTGATTTCTAAGATTATTGGAAATCCTTGCTTCTAGCTAACATTTTTTTTAGTATAAACATTAATTCACTCAAGACTATTGAGCATGTCAACCCTCTGAGGTATGCACTGTTATTACCCTTATCTTACCCAGAAAAAATGGAGACACGGCGAAGTTAAGCAACCTGTCTAAGGTCACACAGTTCATAAGTGCCAGAGCCAGGACTCAGACCCAAGCTGCCCTTGCGTTTAACCCTTGCACTCTGCTATTTTATCTACCTTTTGAAGAATTAACCCCAAAGCAATTAAAAGCTAAACAAACAGAATGCTTGCAACACCTTACATAAACCACCCATCCACCGACACGACCACCAGGACCCAAATTATGTAAATGAGAGAAAAAAACCTGTGCATACGCTTATCACGTGCATAGAAAAAAGGCACGAAAGGCTTATATCACAACAATTGTCTCTGAGGGGCAGAATTTTGGTATAGAGCTAAAAAGGTTTTTGTTCTTCTGTTTTTCACAAATTTCCCACATTTTCAATACTATGAAATGCATTATTATTATAATCTAAAGAAACATAAACTTTTCTGAAAGGAAAAGTAAATACATTTCTTATTAGGAAAAAAAGAAGAAAGAAAGAGAGAGAAAGAAATTTTAAAAGCCCCATTGTAACCAAAACCCAAACAGGAAAGGAAGAGCCGGGAGAGTGAGGTTGCTGGTCTACCTAACGCTAGGTTGGCTGGGCGCTTCTCTGTGGACCTGGGCAACAGCTAAAATTCTCATTCTCAGGCCAAGTTCTCTTAGGATTTGCAGTAATAAATAACCTTGAACTACAACTAGCCCATTCCATATGAGCAAGAAGAGGTAGTAGGTGGGCACGAATTTGGTGCCTGGAAAAGCCCTGACGGGGAGGGAGAGGACAGCTGGTGCTGAGCTTGGCGGCCCCCTCACCGCGTGCTTTGGGGACCCTCTGGCCTCTTCGCCTGCCAAATGGGAGTGGCTGCTTCTGCTTGGTCATGGTTCGAATTCTGCTGTGAGCACAAGAACGAAAGCAGGCCCTCACTGTTGGGAGTCGTTACATAGATTAACCCGTGTGAGCTTCAAGACACCCCCGTGCGTTAGCTACTATTACCATCCCCATTGTACAGATGGGGAAGTGAGTCGCAGAGCAGTTAAAGGACATGCCCACGTGCAACTCAGCAGACCGTCAGGCTGCCTGGATTGGGGCCCGGGCTCTGCACTCACCAATCACACGCCCCTGGCATTTTCTTCAACTGCTCTGCCACTTATTTTCCTGTGCCAAAGAGACATCTCCCAGCGTTGAATGAGGTACAACATAGGAAGAGCTCGGAATAGTTCGAAACACTAAAAAAAAAAAAAAAAAAAGGCAATAATTACTATAGTGGTTTCAAATTGCAAAACTCCTGAGGGGATGGTCAGTAAGGTTTTTCTTTATAAGGTTGATTTGCATAGTCTTCTCCAAGAAGTTTGGACACTCATTTGGACCTAAGAATCTGCTATCTACAAGATCCCAACTTCTCATGAAAGAAGCAAGAGGGAGCAGCTGATGGCTCACATGTAACAGATGAGAGAAGTGGGGACTTCCAGCTGTCTCACTGAGGCTGTGCCAATGAATTGTCCTGGGCCTCAGACAGAGACCACACACCATTCCACCCATATATATATTTTTTTCTAGTTCTAAGTTGCCACCTTATTGGATGACGGGTCCTTCAAAAGAGCCTCCAATATANAAAAAAAAAAAAAAAAAAAAGGCAAGCTGTTAGTTTGGGACATTCTAAAGGAAATGGCCTGTTACTTCGGGGCAAGGTTTTGGAATGGGTTAGTGATTAGGAAATAGGCATAAACCTAGGAAAGGCTGCACATAAATAAAACATTTCCATCTCTCATTGGGAAAGAAAAAAGTTTCCACCAAGAAAAACAGGGGAGCCCCAAACAGGAAGAGATCCTCTTTACTCAATAAAGTGGTGATTTTGTGTTTATATATCCTGCTCCAGTAATCTGCCTTTCGGTCGGAAGATATACCATGTAATTAGGTTTATGAAGATCGCTTGGGCAGAGCAGCCCTCGAACTCCCTCCCTTCCTCCAAGCATCTATCTATCCATCGGTGCACTGATTGAAAGGAGATTTGGTGCCAGTCCTACACTCTATCCACACTCCAAAGCTGACCTAGCTGCCTTTGATGGGCATCTGACATTATCTCCAAGACGCCTTGGTGAAAAGGAACTGAAAAGGTCGCCTGGTTCACCCCTTTCCCCACTCACCTTCTTCCACTCAACCCACCGCCCACCGATGAGGTGAGTTTCCATTTGCAGGGACCTCCAGGGGAGAGGAGTATCTGCTGCCCTCCCCCACTGGGGAGCCCTCATCAGTCCGTAATCAAAATGTTTGGGGTCCGTGGGAGAGCTGCAGCGGAGGCCAGCTTATCAAGGTGGAATTTATTTACTTACTGTCCACATCATTTCACATCAGATTGGCTTGTTGCTCTCTCCGATCGCCGGCTGGAGAGCGGAGGTGACAGATCACCCCATTGCTTATTTAACCAACCGTAAACAGGACTTGAAAGAGGGGAGTTTGCTGCACACGGCTCGTCCTCGGAGAATCTGACATGTTTCAAGTTGATGGCAAACTTCTGCTCATGATCTCAAAACTTCTGCTTTTTTTTCTTGCTCTCTTCCCAAAGTTAAGGCCTTTACCTAGAAAACTCACCCGTTTTACTCCAAGGAGAGCTGTAGATCAAGTCAGAAAGCTGCGTCCAGTCCTAACGGCCTGGGGGCTGCTCAAGGTTTCCTTTCCCGCCCACGTGGCCCTGAGGGTAGGCGGCAGATTACCAAATTTGGTGGCACGTTCAGTTTATTTAGTTTGCCAAAAACTCTTAAACTGGCAGTTCAGCGGTGTCTTTGGACTGTAAGTGGATTAAGCCATAATTAAGTTATAATATCCTAATTATGTGCGATATCGATGACATATATGCAGGAGTATCATGTCTGCATTTCATGGAATAATTTCAACTTAAAGTGTCGTGTTCTTCTTTTCATTGCCCTTCCACCAACACCCCCCTGCCCCTCCAAATACGAGAGAAAATGGAACGTTGACTTACATGGAGCCAGGTGCTATGCTGGGTGCTGGACTTTTAGGAACAGCATCGTTGCATTGAATGATCAGAACACCCCTGCATGACTTTATCATTGCAGGTGAGGAAACCGAGGCTGAGACAGGCTCTGGATTTTGCTTAGGGACACAGACGCAGTGGGTCTTGCAGTTGGGTTTCAAGCCCAGGTGTCATGATGCCCAAGCCCGGGCTCCCTTTCCTGCCTCTGTGACATCTGCTAGACCCGGGGCTGGTTAGTGGTTAGAGAGGTGGAGTGAGGTCACCAGAGCCATGTGCAGGCATATGAGGGGGCGAGGGGGGAAGGGAAGGGAAGTGGCTCACATACAAGAAGCTGTAGGATTAAAGAGCAAACAAAAATTAGAATAAAATATGCTGAGAGAAATTACCTGGGGTGTGACAATAAAGTCTAGACCAGAAGGTAAAATAAACAATATGGCAAAGTGGGAAATGGAAATGAGAGTTTAACGCTTGAGTTAGCAACAGTTCTGACGGGACTCTTTCCCCACTGAAAGGGTCTAAAAGGTCACAGTCATACAACAGGTAGCTCTGAAGAGTCCACATATGAGGGACTTACCATGTTCCTAGAATCAACAAATACCATTTTAATGTCATTTCGCCCCTTTTGGAGGAAAATAGTCCCGTTGGTTAAGAACAAATAAGCACAACGGTGTCCGTGCTCACACAAGTGTCCGGGGACATGTGAGAAGCCATGTGGTTCCCTGACTGCCCGGAGCCTGGTGGAGACCTTGGGGGCCTCCACTGCCATGGGCTCCCTGGGATGCAAAGCAGGCAGGTGCTGACGGGGTCCTCAGCTCCCCCGCTGGGTGGCATTATTTGGGATGTCACTTAACAGGCCATCGAGACCTTCTCAGGGCCCTGGGAACTCCTGTAATTTCTTCTACATTCTCAATTCATTGGGGTGATGGGAAGAGTACCAACGATTCCACGGTCCACAGAACCAGGTTTGAAATCTCTGAAGAGCGTGCTTGGGGTGACCATAAGTCCCCTGGCTTCCTTGTCGATACGATGAGGACAATCATCCCCACTTCAGGGTGGCGGGAGGACTGGGAATTCCACGCCTGGGGCATAGAACAGCTTCATCACGTAATAGCCTCCTCCCGTCTCTGAAAATGTCAAGTCAGCGTCTATCAGAACTTGAAATTTTGAATGAAAAATGTCTTCCTACCAGGCACAGAGGGCAGAGCAAAAGTTGGGCAGCTCCTCGCTCAGTTAAACACAGGGTGACCGCGCCTAGGTCTACGCCCGAGGGACGGAATACAGGTGTTCAAACAGGACCTCGTCCGAGGTCACTGCAGCACAACCACGTGCCCAGCGACTGACGATCGGCGCAGCCGTGTAGCGGGACATTATTCAGCCAAGGACAGAATGAAGCACTGACACACGGACGACACGGATGAACCCCGACAGCATCGCGCCAGGTGACCGTGGAAGACGCGAAAGGTCGCACGCTGCACGATTCCATTGATATAAAATGTCCCAGAGCCCGGCCGGGCGTGGCTCAGCGGTTGAGCGTTGACCTAGGATCCAGGCGATCAGGGTTCGATTCCCGGTCAGGGCACATGCCCGGGTTGCGGGCTGCAGGCGATCAATGACTCCCTCATCATTGATGTTTCTATCTCTCTCTCTCCC